TATTGTGGTGGGTGACTTTCTCCTTAGGGGGACCAAGAAAGCGATCTGTTGCCCTGACCCCCTAGCCCATGAGGTCTGCTGCCTGCCTGGAGCTCATGTCTGGGATGTGATAGAGAGGATCACCAAACTCATCCAGCCCTCCGACCACCGTCCCATGCTACTCATCCATCTGGGCATGAATGATATGGTCTCGAGCAGTCTGGGCTGGGTAAGGCATGACAACAGGGCTCTGGGGGCTGGGCTCAGGGATCTGGGGGCACAGATAGTTTTATTTAGATCCTCCCAGTCACAGGACATGGGCTTTGGAGGAAAAAGTGTATCGGTGAGGTGAATAGAAGACTCCAGTGATGGTGCCATCACGAGGGGTTTGGCTTCCTTGACCATGGTCCGCACTTAAGAGAGAACAGACTGTTGGGAAGGGATGGCCTCCACCTCACCTGGAGAGGGAAGTAGCTCTTCTCGGCCAGAATAGCTGACCTTCTTGACAGGGCTTTAAACTAAGACCGCTGTGGGGATGGGCGGTCTATTAACAGTTCAGCCCAGGTCATGTCAGCTGCATTACTAATAACCTGGGCAGCCCAAGGGAACCCGCTCTGACAACAGCCCCAGGAAAGGTCCCGCTTCACCCCATAGGGAAGCATTGGACTTCTCATGGCAGACAACTGCCTGTACATGAATGCCAGGAGCTTGGCAAACAAGCAAGAGGAACTGGCCCTTCTCCTATGTGAAAATGACTATGACCTTGTAGGGATAACAGAGATCTGGTGGGACTCTGCCTTTGATTGGTCTGTTGCTTTAGAGGGTTACACATTGTATAGGAGAGACTGTGTTGGGAAGAGGGGTGGTGGTGTTGCTCTCTATGTCAAGGACCAGTTCACTTCCCTGCAAATTGAGTTTTCTAACCAGGAAGGGTGTCTTGAGACCCTCTGGGTCAAAATATGGGGAGAACATGGGGAGGGTGACATACTTGTAGGAGTCTACTATAGACCTCCCCACCAAGAGGAAGAACTAGACTGGGAATTCAATAGGGAACTGGTTGAGGCCACATGCTTGCAATGCATGAATATCATGGGGAACTTCAATTTCCCTGACATTTGTTGGGTTGAGTGCATAGCCAAATCTGACAAGTCATGTAACTTTCTCGCTTGCATTGATGACCTCTACCTAATGCACGAGGTCTATGGGTTGACTAGGGAAGAGGTATTGCTTTTTCTGGTCCTGGCCAAAGGGGAGGATCTGATGAGTAATGTGAGGATTGAGGGGAAGCTTGGTGACAGCAACCATGAATTGGTCACCTTCTCAGTTCACAAAAGGTCAGGCAAATCCCTCAGTAAAACAGAAATCTTTAACTTTTGGGAAGGCTGACTTTTCCAAACTCAGAGATTTGGTCAGTCAGGCAATTAGAGGCCATACCCCCCTAGAAAAAGGAGTACATGAGGAATGGTCATCTCTCAAAAACATAATCCTTGAAGCACAGGGGGAAGCCATTCCATCTCGCAAGAAATGTAGTCAACAGGCAAGGAAGCCCCTTTGGCTGAACAAGGAACTGTTGGACCTCATTAAACTCAAAAGAGAAGCCTACACCAGTTGAAAAAATGGGAAGCATCACCAAAGAGGACTACTCAGCACTTACCTGCACCTGTAGAGAGTGATCCAGAAAAGCCAAGGCACAAACCAAACTCAGGCTAGTTGCAGGAATCAAAGACAACAAAAAGTCCTTCTTAAGATACGTGGGAAGTCAGAAAAAGATTGCACTGAGTCCCTGTGAGATCTAAATGGGCAACTGACATCTGATGCCCAAGAAAGGGCCTATCTCCTAAATGACTTTTTTGCATCAGGTTTTCACCCTCCCAAGGGGATCACTCTGTCAGAAAGGACACAAACCATCCTGGGAGCAGGTGATGGGCCCAAAATTGATGTGGATCAGGTGAAGGAACACTTTGAGAAAGCAGACATTCACAAGCTCATAGGTCCAGATGGAAGACCCGAGAGTCTTGAAGGAGCTGGCAGAAATCATTGGCAAAGATATTTGAAAATTCGTGGTGCTCAGGCAAGGTCCCAGAAGACTGAAAAAGAGTTAACATGGTCCCTATCTTCAAGAAAGGGATGACAGATGACCCAGGGAATTATTGACCAACCTGTCTGACGTCCATCCCCGGAAAAATCCTGGAGAAAATTGTCAAGGGATCCATCAACATCAGACTAATGGAAGGCAAGTGTCTGAATACCAGCCAACATGGCTTTGTGACTGGTAGGTCTTGCCTGATCAACCTCATCTTCTTCTATGACCAGGTAACACATGCCTTGGAAAAGGGAGATGACATGGATGTCATATATCTAGATTTCAAGAAAGCCTTTGACGTAGTTCCCTATGATGTCCTCATGGTTACACTGGGGAACTGTGGCCTTGATCATCTTACAGTCCAATGGCTAGGTAACTGCGTATGGGGTCGGACCCAAAGAGTACTTGTTGATGGAAGCAAGTCAGTGTGGTTCAGGGGAACCAGCGGAGTCCCTCAGGGCTTGGTACTTGGGCCAGTTCTCTTTAACATCTTCATTAACATTCTGGATTCAGGAGTCCGATGTGAACTGGCAAAGTTCATGGATGACACCAAATTATGGGGGAGGGTGGTCACACCACAGGACAGGATGGGGATACAGGCCAACTTGGACATGCTTTCAAGGTGGGCTGACCAAAACCTGAAGGCCTTCAATGTAGAGAAGTGTAAGGTGCTGCACCTTGGTAGGAAGAACCTTCAATATACTTACAAGCTCAGTAGTGCTATGCTCGCTAGCACCATGACTGAAAGACTTGGGGGTCTTGATTGGCCACAAGATGAATGTGAGCCACCAATGCTATGCTGTGGCTGGCAAAGCAAACCAAACTCTGGCATGCATTCATCGATGTATCTCAAGCAAAACCAGGGATGTCATCCTCCCATTTTACTTGGCCTTGGTGAAACTGCAGCTGGAGTACAGCATCCAATTTTGGGCACCCCACTTCAAGAGGGAAGTGAAAAAGCTTGACAGAGTCCAGAGGAGAGCCACTCATATGATCCAAGGCTTGGAGGGCAGGCCATATGAGGAGAGGCTGAGGGACTTAGCACTCTTCAGTCTGGAAAAAAGAAGGCTTGGGGGCACTTGGTAGCAGCCTACAATTTTAAAAGAGAGGTAAATCAGGACCTGGGAGAATAGCTGTTCACCAGAGCTCCTCAAGAGATAACAAAGTCTAATGGCCATAAACTTCAGGAAGGCCGATTTAGCCCAGACATAAGAAAAAAGTTCTTTATGGTGCGAGTGTCCAGGGTCTGGAACAGACTCCCCCCAGAGGTGGTACAAGCACCTACTCTGGCCTCTTTCAAAAAACATGTGGATGTTTTTCTTGCTGGGTCACTTGATCCCAGCTGACTTCCTACAGGAGGGCAGGGCTGGACTCAATGATCTCATGAGGTCCCTTCCAGCCCCTAATGTCTATGAAATCTATGAAATCTATTAAATATAATTTTAAAAAGCATGTGTAAGCTTGAGAATTTCTTAATATTACAATGTGATTTTTCTAGAAGTTTTGCCCTTACAATAAATGGATGCCAGAAATGTCACCAAGTTCTGTTTTAAACCTTATGACCTGTATCATCATTAATTTTCCAAATAAACTTTTCTCTATTTTCATACTGTTTAAAATGTATGAAACTTTTTTAGATATAAAGTTATATATAACAAAATGTCAGTGCACTTCCTCCGTACACAGAATACAGATATATGAATAATCTGCCTCAATATTCAGGCTGGCAGTTAAGAGTTTCCTACAATTTGTTGAGGATTTTTTAGATGAGCTCAAAAATCCTCAACAAATCCCCTCCCCCCGCCCGCTCAGCATCCAGCTGCTCACCACCCCACCTCCACCCCCAGTCAGCATTCGGCCACTCGCCCCCCCGCCCCCCTGGGGTACACTTATTGAAAACAGGGCTGCCAGGGGTACACTTATTTTAAAAGGTTGAAAACCCCTGGGAAAGGGAATAAAAATAAAGATATTTTAGGTAGAAACTAACATATTTACATATGACACAAATTGTTGGTGCTTAGAAATATATTGCATTAGCTTTATTTGTGTTAAAAAATAAAAACATTCCTTCTGACAATCCTTAGACATGCTGAAGGGGTATAGACTTACAGCTTTCATTCCTAAATAGTGCTGTCACTGCAGAGGAAATAATTGAATTATATAACTGTGGAGGGAATTATTGCCACTGCAGAAAAGGTTCTACTTAAAAATAAGTAAAAGTTTTAAAATGTGTAGACAGTACAAATGAACATATTGTATTTTCTTTAAACTGTCTATTGCAGATGTCTGGGTTTTGGCTGTTTGCCCTACCAACCCATGCAGCTTCCAGTCTCTGGGTGTGGTAAATATGTTTCATGAGTACCTGTTTCATAGTTCGCAGGAATAGCTGCACAGAGTTAAGACAGTAGTAATATGAAACCGGTCTTGTTGGTTTTTATTCACTGGCCCTGGAGATCAAAATCTGCATTCCAGATGAAACCTGCAGCAGACAGAGCTTGATTTTATTTTTTTAAGCTTCAAGGGTACTCAGTCTAGTTTACTCTGGCCAGCTGATAATTCAGAACACTGCAGGAATTCACTGAAGTCTTATGATTTCGAGGGCAAAGGGGGTGGCTCTGAAGTATTGCTTTGTTTGGATTTTTTATTTTACCAATTGTGGTGTTCTGATGGATGTGCTTAAGAAGGTCTTAAAGTAGTAAAGGTTACACAAAGGAATCTTTGAGGAGTTTTTTTGCTGACGAATGTTCACAACTCTTTTCTTGTATAAGGAAGTAGCAAACTGTAAATGCCAACCGTTCTGTTCCTTGTTTTTACAGTTGCTCTGCACTCTTTAGGGAGTAGGAAGTTGTGTGTAGCCAGTAGGATTGCAGGAACTGAGGCAGTAATCATTGGTTGAGTTTTCAACTGTGATTAGAGTGCTGGCGTATTTGTCGTGACAGAAAGCCCTTTCTGTTAAGAAGCGAGTACAGGAGTTTCTGAGAACTTTTTTATACTGTGCATCAAGATGCAGAATTTCTCTTGGATTGAAGTTGTAAATTATGACAGGCACATTCAGCTCCTACTGCAGCACTGAAAACCGGAAGAAGAGATAGTGTGACCTGTGGGAGACCAGCTTTCCTCATGATGCAAAGAGAAGAGCTCCTGTTGCATTTCCTGTCGTAAGTTAATAGACTGAATGAATGTAGTAAATATTTGAGTAAAGCGAGCAAATATCAATTATAGTTTGTACTGTGCTTTACTGAATATGGAAGAAAATAACACTTTACCTGACTGCAGTGAGCATTTGGAACAAGATAATAAAATAGAGAAAAACTCCAGCCAGACTCTCTTCACTACATTTTCTATGAAAGCGCTTTTTGGATTTACTTCTAAATTGGAATCGTCAGCCTCAAAAGAAGACACAGTCCTTACTGCATTTCGTCCTTTGGATGCCAATGCAAATGCCCAAGTTGACAACCAAGATATGAAGATTAATGATGACAATGATGCAGAAATTCATCATATATTTCCCAAAACACAGCAGGCTGCCTCAGAGGTCACTGGCCAGGCGGACCTGGAGCCAGAGCTAGCGGAACAGAAAGAACTCCCTTTTCCTCATTTAGAGTCTGCACAGCCTCTTTTGTCTGCATCTGACAGAGAAGACAAGGATTCCATTCTTGTACAAGGTACTTTAGTTCATACAACAAGTGACACAGAATCAGACAATGAGAGTACAGACCTAGACAGTGAGGCAAGAGAAACAAACAAATCTGTGGTAAATAATGTCGCTTTGTCTACTCAGTTTTTGGAAAATAACAAACAGTATAAGGAAGAGTCAGAATCAGAAAGGCGCAGCAAAAGTGAATGTGCTGTGGACGGAGATGAAATTGAGTCAATATCACCGCCTCCTAAGCAGGTTTCAACAGAGTCAAGGGATGCTTTGGAATGTGGCTCTGGTCCAGAAGACATCATGTTAGCAGATGAGCCTTCCAGTGGCTCACCTGCCGCAGGGGAGAGCCCCCAAGAACCTGGAGGTGGTGAAGAGCAAGGGTCTTCCATGAATAACATATCTCCTCAGAAAACAGCAGTGGGTGAAAAGACTTTTCAGCTTCCAGCTTTCTTTAGTGGGTTGCGTGTGCGGAAAAAAGGACAAACTGCTGAAGAGAGAGAAACTGTCACTGAAATTAAACAACGAGACAGTGATTTGGCTTTGCTTAAATTAAGACAGCCTGTTAAGAAAGCCAATATTACAACAGACCTGTTCGCTAAAAAGAAATCAGCTGAACCTAAAACAAATCCTAATATCCTGGAACAGCTCTCACATCTGTTCAAAATTGATGGTACCAAAAATGAAGATACAGCAGAAGATTCTGGTGAGGCAAGTAGTGAGACTGAGGACAGTGAGGGAGGCCCAGAGAGCAAATCCTCAAGCAAAGAACCTCAGTCGCCTTCTGAAGAAACAAAACTGGGCCCGGCTGAGTCTGCATTGGATGTATTTAAAGCTTTGTTTATGCGGCCTCCAAAAAAGGAGACAACTGCAGACACTTCAGAGCTAGAAGCCATAAAACAAAAAATGAGACATGAAAAGGAGTCATTGAAAGCTGTATTTGAACGGTCAAAATCAAAGCCTGGAGATGGAACATCTGAGCAAAAATCTGTAGGTTGGATTACCTTTATTATAATATAGGGTAGAAGTAGATAGATGTGAAATTTGTTCTGATTGTAAACTGATGAACTCACATAATTAAGGCACCAGTAAATAATTATTTCAAAATTGGCCTTCATCTTTTGGGAGTCACAGATTTTGGGTGCCTAACTCAAAACACTTTGGGACAGAATTTTTAGAAGCATTGAGAATGTGAAGTCTTTAGGAGCTGCAGATGATTGGCCCCATGACCAAGATGAAGTCTCTAAAAATATGGTAACTGTGAAATAAGGCTTAAATTCACTCTCTGTGTGCCTGATGTCACAGACAGTGAATTACAGATACTTTTTGGTGCTGTACCTAAGATTTTTCTTAAGTTATTGCATCTGTTTATTGTCTAGTGAGAGAGAATATGCTATTGTCTAAGTATTCTGTAAAAGCTTACAGATATTTAACTTTACAAAGCTGAATTTTTCCATGAAAATGAATGGATAATTCTCTGGTGTAAAGTTCAGTTTGTGGCTAAGTATTTTCAGGACTGTATCCCTAGTGATTTTGATTTGGATACATATGTTTCCATAATGGAAAGGAAAATGTAATGAGTCAAAATAAACCAGTATAAATTCACTCAAGTTTTTAAAAATGACATGTTCGCTGAAATAAGCAAAACAAAGACACAGTGTATATCAATTGCAGATACAAATAGGAAGGAAAAATTGTATGAATGAATTATATCTGCTACAGTAGAATGGCTTATATGAGTATGTGTTGCAGGTTTGGACAATAAGCCTGAAATTGGGTAACCAAGAGTTTATTTGTTTGCAGTCAGTTTCAGATTTCCATTCTCAAATGTGAGTTTGAAGAAACAAATAAAATAAAAAACAAATAAAAAATGCTTCTAAAATTATGTCTTTGGTAGACTAAAAACTTGTAGTCACATCAACATAAAGTATGTGAGGAAAATGTAGATGCTGGCTGGCCTTTTATTACTTTATGTATAGCTGTTATGTAGTATTAAACGCCGCTAAAATTAATCTGCAAAAAAAACCCCCAAACTCTGACTTTGGCTTGGATAGAGAAAATTTTTTTACATTCCTGTCGTAGTAGTAGCCTCCTCCGTTCACAAAAGGACAGGCAACTTCTCTCAGCCAATATGCCAAGTTGTTATAAAAACACTGTATAAAACATACTGGTAAGTGTTGTGATATTCCCCTCTGTAGAACAATTGCTCTTATATACTCTTCCCCCTTGGCCCCTGACTGAATCTCATTAGAATGAGTGGGAACTAAACTTATGATTGTGCTGGCCCATACGCTAATTTAGTTAAATGTGCCATTTTCTGTTTTTTGGAATGGATTGATATTGCAATATTTTATTTTTTCCTTTCATCTTTTTTAATAGCCTGACCTGAGTCCCTCAGAGCAGGATGATAAGACTCCAGGGAGGCTTCAGACTGTATGGCCACCACCTAAAGTAAACGATCAAGAAGAAAAAGTGGGATTAAAATACACTGAAGCAGGTAAAACAAAAAGGTGAAAGATTTGCAGAAATGAATCGTAACATTTCTAATATTCTGTGATTAAAAAATATATATACCGATTATTTTCTTCTAGAAAACATTCTATTTCTGGGTATGTGGGATTGGTTACCCTCACTTTGATAGGGAGATGTAATTCCTAGCAGGTAAATGATATATGGGTGCATGTTGAAGTCAGTGTTGCATTCTACTTTCATGAGGAAAAAACAATGGCTTTTGATAGTGTGGGCCAAACAGTTTTCTGGTGCAATTCTGTGGAAGGGATGAACACGGTCTAGAAATTAGAAATTATTTTCTTTTTTGTTTGGTTAGATTATGATCATGGGTATTGGTACTGTCAGGTTCTGGTTTAATTTGCTGATTCTCTTTAGTTAAAATCACATCTGTGTTAAATCCTGAGTAGAAGTAGGAGTGTTAATCTATATAGTTTTGAAACATTATTAAGAACACAGAAATAGCCATATGCAACCACATCATAATGTAGTCTAGTATTTTGTCCCTAATAGATGCCTATGCCAGATGCTTGAGAAGGTAGTATAACAAATACAATACTGGACTTGTGGAATTACCTGCTCACAAAAGATGCTTTTATAACTTTTCCCAGGTTCTGGTTGGCTTGTCTACTTAAACAAGAGCATTTATGTCCCTTATAAAAAGTGCTTATTGTAGCTCATGAAACTCAGGTTGTTCTTCTACTTTGTGTGACTTTTCTAAAAACCCTGAAGAAAAGCAGTGGCTCTTTTGTTCTTATCTAGCAGCTTTTGAAAATATCACTCAGAAATAGTTGAGTAGGGTTCAAAAAAGAATAAAACCCTTGCATGTAATGCTGTAAGTGCCAGTAAGTTACCTGTGTGTGGCCTGTATTTATTTTAAAGGTGTTATCTTTCAGTTTCAGTGAATGCCTGCCTGTGTTTACTTTATCAGACAGGGTAAATAAGAATAGGATTTATTTCTATATTATGTCCTTTCTTACTTGCTTACTTTCTAAACTGTACAGTCCTAATCTTTTAAATCTCACCTTGTATGAAAGTCTTTCCTTGTCTCTAATAATTTTTCAACCTCACCAACCTCCCTCTCTGTTTTTGCATGATTAATTACTACTATTTTTACCTGCCACACTAAATTATTATGATCAGTTTCAAAATAGTACTGTTAAAATATAAAGTACATGACTTCACTGTTTTATTTTTACAGTAGCAGGGGAGGGGAGCATAGACTAGGCAATGGAGACCTGGCACTCCAAGTTTAGCTTCTGGCTCTACGTTTGATTGACTTATTGTGAATTCAGACAGGTTTACAACCTTTTTCTACCTGAATCTACTTCCTTATGAAATGGACATAACATTAGAAGTGCTGAACCCCCAAGAACGTTCCAAAAGTTAACTAGTTCTTTAATTTTTTCGCAGACACTGACAAAAGCGCATCTTATTTCAGAATACCAGGATGTACTAAATGTACTTGCTTAGATTGGAGGAAAGTTTGGAAGAGCTGGGGTTATTTAGTCTGGGAAAAAAAGAGAAAACTAAAGGAAGATAACAGTATGCAAGTACTTGAAGGGTGATTATACAGAGGATGGTGATCCTCTGCTGTGATCCACTGCTGTCAGCACATCCAGAATAATAATGGAGAAAGAACCTCCCTGCCAGCTACATCACTAGTCAGGCACAGAACTTACACTTGCCCTCAACAAGATCCCTGCACAAATGATACAATATATGTGCCAAATAATGCTAATGCATTTCCAGTTTTAACATGATTTCTCTTCTGTAACTTATATATATGGAGTGTTTGATTGTTTCCTAAAATAACAAGTGAAAAGTGGTCTTTAATATCTTTTTGTTTCCTACTTGTCACAGCATTCTAGTGACTTCTCTTTTATAGCACAAAGGTACATGCAAACAAAGAAAGGAAAGGAAAAACTCTGAATAAACAAATGCTCTATATTGTACTGAGATGAACTAGGTCATGCTTTATTGGGATGTAAATAGAAAGGAGGGACTGGCTTCAATTCCATGTACATTGCTGTCATTTGTCACTAAGATATTTTGAGTTGTAGTGTCATCAACAAGCTGATGGTATTTGAAGTCCAATTTTAATAGAGCCCAGATCCTAGTATTCATTGCTCACCCATTGTCTGGCAGAGATAGGAATCCAGATGAAAATAACCTGGTGATGATTCAGCCCGGGTAGGACACAAGTGATGCTTTTAGAAGAGATGGGCAAAAGCTGTGGATATAACTAACATATGTTGAGGGCAAGTGTAAGTTCGGTGCCTAAATGACTAGTGAGGTAGCTGACAGGGAGGTTCTTTCTCCATTATTATTCTGGATGTGCTGACAGCAGTGGATCACAGCAGAGGATCACCATCCTCTGTATAATCACCCTTCAAGTACTTGCATACTGTTATCTTCCTTTAGTTTTCTCTTTTTTCCAGACTAAATAACCCCAGCTCTTCCAAACTTTCCTCATAAATCGTTTTTCCTAGATCTTGGAACATTTTGTTGCTCTCTGCTTTCCAGGTGGACACTTTCCAATTTTTCCACATCTTTCTTGAACCACAGTGCTCAAAACTGGACACTGCTCCAAGGCTAAGTACAAACATTCAAAAAGCATGTGGCAGAATTGATCTAAATTACAGAGTGCTCTGTAAGCGGTCTAGGTTAGATCGGTAGTGAACGGTATGCATGTACCCTTTGGTGCGGGATGGGGCACAGATTGCCTGCACTGACTGAGGCCTGCAGGCTGGAGGCACTCCTGCACACCTCCTGGTGTGCTCCACTGGCTCCCTGGGCTGCCAGAGACTACTGAGCACAACTGAGCATCTGGGCCACCCCAATTGACTGCCAGGGATGGGCAAGTATGCCCCCCATACCCGCCCCCCACCCTAGTACTCTGGGACCCTGTAGCTGCAGACCAAAAAAAGCCTTGCAGCACCCCAAGTGCCCATGGCGTGGGTACCTGCCAGCAGTGGCCAAGCTGCAGAAGTCACAGGGTTACCTCCATGCAGGCCCAGTCCTCAACCCACCAGATGTGAGCCACCCATACCAGATCCTGCTCAAAGTGGGGTGTGGTCCCATACTGGGGTAGCAGGGTGCCTGGGCATGGAGGTGTGGAGTGCAAGAGCCAGAGTTAGGCTCCATGGGGCTGTGCCCAAGCATGGGGGCTTGGGGGTTCCTGGATGGGTGTGTGGCAGCCAGAGTCGTGCTCTGTGAGGCTGTGTTCAAGCATGGGGTCCCTGGCTGGGTGTGCAGGAACCAGCGTCAGGCTCTGTGGGGCTGTGCCTGAGTGCAAGGTTTCTCCTGGGTTCAGTGTCAGGTGTGTGTATGCAAGTGCCCAGCTCCTAGGGCTTGTGCAGGGGACATAGGCACCTCCCTTCCCTCCCCACCACTCCCCGCCCTGCTGCCTGTCTGCAGTTGACAGATGACTGAAGGCAGGAGGTGGGACTGGGGAGAGGGTCTGTGTTGTCTTGGCTCTAGGAAGAGCTCAGGAGTGGGGCCCACTGGGTGTTTGACTGGTGGGCCCACTGGGCACAAAGGCTGAGTGCTAGCATGCCTCTCTGTGGCAGGGCAGGGGGTGGCAGGAGGCTGCAAAGGAGGCCACAGGATAACGACCTAACTTGAATCAATAGGTCAGGCCCCACTAACGCTGAATGGAGTAAAGGAATTATTTCACTTAACTTGCAAATGATACTCCTGTTAATTCATCTCAGTATGCTGTTGGCCTTTTTTAGAAAACCAGCACATTGTTGGCTCCTGTTCATCTTACTGTAACCTCCATGTCCTTTTCTGCAGCACTTCAATTTAGCCAATCATTCCCTGGTCTGTGCTTGTGCATGTAATGTTTCTGGCCAAATCCTATGCACAGGATTTTGCACTTGTCCTTAATAAATTTCATACAATTTCAGACATTTTTTTAAAGTTTATCAAGGTCTGAATCCTAATTTAATCCTCCCTAGGTTTCTGTAATTGAAACAGTTTGGTGTCATCTACAAACGTGCTGAATGTTCTCTCAATCCCATTCCTCCAAATCATTGGTGAGAATGTCATGGGAGACAGTGACAAAAGGCTTGCTAAAGTCAAGGTACATATCTTCTCTCTCCTGCTTCCACAGAGCCCACCACATTGTTGTAGAGAGAAATTAGTTCAGTCAAGCATGACTTGCTCTTCCTGAATCTGTGAGCTGTTCCTGATCACCGTTTTTTGTTTTAGGTGCTTAGAAATTGATTCCTTGAGGATATGCTCCATCATCTTTCCAAGTACTGAGTTCAGACTGACTAGTTTGCAATTTCCCAGACCTTTCTTCTTTCTTTTATATATTTCCCCTTATCCAGTCAACCAGAATTTCATCCAACCTCCACACATTCTCAAAAGAGAATAGCCAATGCTTTGTGTAATTGCCTCAGCTAATTCCTTGAGGGCTCTTGAATGCATCTTGTCCGGCCCTGCTGACTTAAAAAACATATGGATTCTCTAAGTAATCTCTAATGTTTGCTGTTTAGCCAGGTGATCTCTTGCTGAACTTCCTATTCTTCTTCCCATGGGGATAGCCTGCTCTAGCACCCTTAATATGACTGGTTTAAGTTATAATGTTCTCCTGGTTGTCTTTTTAACGGCAGATCTGCCTCCTCTGAGACCCTGCCCACCAGTTTCCTGAATTCGTTAGTCTGCTTTTCTGAAGTCCAGTTCTTTTCTCTGCTACTCTCCTTCCTTCTGTGCCTTAGGACCTTAAACTCTATCATTTAATAGCTGGTGTCATTTGAGTTGTCTTCTGCTTTCACATTCCCAGTCAATTTTTTATCCTATTCAGGAGCAACAAATCAAGAAAAGCTTCCTTGCTAATTAGCCTCAGCACTCTTGCAACACAGATCAAAAAGTTATGGAACTGCCTATCCCAACAGTTCTAGTTGTGTCATTAAGGACCCCCCAAACCCTAACATTTGCTCAGATAACTAATGTTTTTTTAGGGGGGTTATATTTTGTTCT